TGAAAGCAACATCCATCATCTCAAATAAAATGTCTATGTAGAGGGAGAAATACAGCATTGATGAGAATGCAGATATCTCAGGTTTCCACAAAAAATTCTTCAGAAAATATTACCTATCAAAGTTATGCCTGAGCTGAAAGCGAGACTACAGTGTTAGTGGTAAAGAGAACCTCAGGTGACCAGACTAGTATTTATTACTGGACAACCCTAGGGTCACTTAGTCTATTCGTAACAGCTTTGGTCATTCAAACAGTCACACACATTCACCAGTTTCAAAATAGGAAACAAAGATGAAAAGGAGTGAGCTTCCAGAACATTAAATTTGCCTTTGGCATAACCAAGCCCCACTGCTTAGATATTACGTCATAACCGTCCAAGTACTGCAGACCTTCTCCCAGGTTTCTGGTCAGGGCTAACTCATGACAAAAGTTTTTCCGGAGGTATTCTCACAATTGCTTTCTGGGTTCCAAACAGTGGATTTACAAAAGAAGAACAACTTACATGAAAATTTCCTATTTTATTGAAGTCCTAGTCTCTGGATATGGAGTCATCTATCATCAATAAAAGTACAACTCATATCTTGTCCACCATTACTACTGGGGCACTTCCCATGTCCCACTTTCTCACACGTCATGTCTTTGTCTCCTTACTCTGCATCATCTCTCCTCAGATTTATTTAAACACCTCCAGCTGAAGGACGCCTGAACTGATATCGGCAGCATATTCAATAGCATTTTTTTATGACATTGGTCAGAAAAAACCCACCTGTTGTTTTTCAGTTTTTGAGATTTAATGATTTGCTATTGTGTAGCAGGAACACAACCATGAAAATAGATTTATACCCTTTCTGCAAAACAAACACATTTGTATTGTTCATGTGTCAGCCCCAGTTTGTTCCGATGAGGACAAGGTCAATATGACTCTTACTAGATTAACTCTGTGATGCTATATAGCAAAGAAGCCTTTAAATATCCATGCTTAGTGGAGGAAAGAGGCTTGCACGTTCAAAAAATGGAACAAAGGACATAGAACTATTTCCCTAGAGTAGTCAATAAAATAAATAGGATTCCAACACCAATATGTTTGAAACCCCCCAGTGATTTCTAAAATGGAAGGCTATGGGCAATCTGGCCTGGTCATTCCATTCTCTGGTCCTGCTATGCCCCGCCATAAGTTGGTGCAACAGCCAGCAGTGTTGGTTTTCTGTCTGAAAGGAGAATCAAAACAAAACCTAAGAAAATATCTTCTCTATCTCCCACTCCCCCTTTTTTTTTTTTAATTGCTTCCCAGGTGAAGGTTTTGGAAATCTGCTAGATACGGTTATTTTGGAAATACACATTCTTGCCTGGTTGCTTTACTCGTGACTCAAAAACCAATTCAGAAAGCCAGTACTGTGGTAAGACAGCGAGTGACTTCAGAGTCTGCAAAATCACCAAGATTTACATTTGCAAGGCTGGATGGAATTGTGCCTGCCTCGCTTTCTGCTGGGCAGCCACTGTGGGGCACAAGGTAGGGGCAAAGACTGCAAGCTGTTTAGGCCCCACGTCTCTGTGGCTCTGTCCAAACCCACAAAGACTTGTCCCTGGCTGCCCAGGGCAGGGATCTGTTGCAGAAGTTTTCCTTCTGGCTCACGTGCCTTTGGGTTCTTCTTGAGAGAAAAGCCAGGGAACACAGCGAGGGGGTGAAATAAAGGAAGTGCAGGGAATGAAAAACACAACCGGTGTGCATAGAGAAAACAGCTGAGAGTGAGATTTATGTTCCTGGCAAATTTATTTGCAGGGTTGCTAAAGTATACCTTTCCCTCTCACTTTGCATAATCTGCTCCCAAACATGCAGAAGCAGGCTTTTGTTTGCTTTTGAGTTGAAAGACATTTTTTTTCTTCTAGTCTTTGCTGTGGAAGGGAAGAGTGGCTGGTTTTGGCAATAATTAATGGTTCTGATGGTTTCTGATTGTACAACACCAATTCCCGAATTTCACTGACTTTCTTATGTATTGGAACCAGTCAGCACAGAGAGCTCAAGAAATGCTGCAGCAACATAATGCACATAGCAATGGTCGTCTTTTTTTCCAGATTGAAAATTGTTTTCCTAAGCAACTGTCCTACAACAAGCTAGTCTGTATTACAAATATTTTAAACATTTTTCCCACATAACTGGATGTTAGGCACAAAAAAAGATGAACTACTTGGAGAATTTACATTAAATGATACACAGAGGACATAGATAGCTTCTGTATAAAGCTATCACATGCCTAAACCACAGTATGACTATGCTCTCAGGAACAGAAAAAAATACCGAAAATTATTCCTTATGTTTGTAATAGTGGTCTCAGAAAAAACTATACATAATAAAATATAGTCCACATTCTGAGAAATGTCTCAGTGAGGATCCCTTCAATAAAGATCTACATATAAATTAGGGTGCCACTTTCAAGGCAGAAGCAGAGCATTTTGTAATTTTGCTATGGTTTGTGTTTGTCCCTTTTACAGAAGTAAACACTCGCGTTGGCTCACGTGTTTGGCTTCTGCATCTCAGTGCTTCACAGCACAGCCTGCTGTGCTGGGAAGGCTTTGTTGACATTTAAAACACTTCTATGCTAGTGTTTTAATTCAGATCACAAGCATGTCTTCGATGTGAATTTCTCAGTCCTCCCCACTCTGCTTTGGTTCACATGGATTGGTTTTAGAGCACAGAGCTTCCCGACAAAGCTCAGCCAGAGCCCACCTAACCCACTAAGAGCTGTTCGGTCACGGCACCGGACAAGAGTAAGCCTGAAAGATCTCCTCCCACCCCCAAAACCTGGGTTAGCAACACTAAATTTTCCTAGTGCTCCACACTAGTTGCTTACGTAGACTTAGCCTGTGCCTCCACGTGTCTAAAACGGGCATTTTTGTCAGCAAAATGTCTCCAAGAGGATTATTCTTAAAAAACAGTTAATTACAATGCCCAATTAAACATCCTTTACCTATGCCAAAGCCGTATTATGGTCTCTGATAAATATTGTATTCACATGTCATTAAAACAATAACAGCCAGACTAAAAAATTTTTCCCATAGTGAAAGTTACTGAAGGAAGAACCACATGCCTCCAACACAACTGCTTTTGTCAGCAAAGGCAGTAAGAGGTTTGTAGACAAAAAGTTTTCTGTCACTTTTGGAAATAAAATGTTTTCAACCAGATGGTAAAAGAAAGCTAACTGCTGAAAATCCTTTCTGTGCAGGTTGTTAGAGTAACGCTTATTTTCAAAAACGGAGAAATAAAGAGCTAGGATGAATACCGGACTATAAACTCTGACACAAACCTAACAGCGTCCCTTCAGAACAAGCGTATTCTCCAGTTCATTTCGGGTTAGCACGGCTTTCCAAAGCAGACAAACCAATCCTCACAGAAACGTGTTCATGGACAAATCGCCCAAGTTATCCAGCACTGCTGTTTGGCAAGGTCTCCAGCCAGGTGGGTTTGCTAACGACTCCTGCAAGGTGTTTGAATCAGAATCTAGAGTAACACGACTGCCATGTTTAATTACGTTAATACAGCTTAATGGATATTGATGGTAGTCAGAGTCAGAGTTTTTGATGAAAAATACAAAGACAAAATAGTCTTTTTTGTTTGAATGTAAGGCTACCAAAGCCTTGATTCTCTGCCCATGTGTAACCTTTCCTAAGAGCAGTCATTCAGAACAATTGTCACAGCAGAGGCAAAGTTGAACATTTGTTCAACTTACAAAACATTTCTTAGCCAACGTGCACTAACAATGGATACAGAATTTTACTTGCATTCGTTGAATATATTTTTTAACTATTCAACAATGTTCTGCAGGTTTGCCTGGATGCATTCAGCTGCTGAAACTGGGATACAACCATGATCTTGAACCTATTTTTTTTTCCTCTCAGAGGGATAACACCAAATGTGCTCATTCGCTTCATTTCATTTTGCAAAACTGTACTTTTTTTGGAGCAGACTTTAAACTCAGTACTGTACACAAAACGTCTTGCATATGCCAACACTGCAATCAAATCCTCAACTGCAGGCACAAGAAGATGAGAAGCTACTTGCTGCTACTATTAATGTAAAATAAAAATGAGAAAACTGGACCCCTTTTGAACACTTTCCTTAGGAAGTATTTTTGGGGAAAGCAGGTTTCTTCTCCTAGGTCTCTAACGACTGCCTGTGAGCAGTCAAACCAGCTCTTGTTCCTTGACCCATGAAGGCACCTCCTTAGCTCCAGGACAGGACACACCAAAGAGATCAACTCTGATAATGCTGACAGCCCCTCGACTGCACAAGTAATTGTGAGAGCTCTGGGGGTCGGACTGTCTCTTGATCAAGAACCTAGGGAGTGGGCTGAACAGGACCCTGAGCTATCACTGACGCCAGATAATACAAGAGATAATAATTCGGGTTTAGATTTTTGACATTTATTAAAAAAGCAGGATGTATGTTCATTTCAAATTAAACAGTTAAAAATGTTAAAGCATACAAACAAATCAATTGTGTACTAGCAGCATCCAATTGTTAGAATTTTCTAGAACTCCTCAGTACAGTCTTGGCAAGCTAAAAATATTACAACTTGCAACCAACTGACCTCACCATAGTGCAGATAAAACAAACTTTATAAAAACAACAAGTTAAGGTTAAATAAGCTTAAATAAAGGTGTTAAATACAAGACACTTGATCAAAGCTTCTGTACAAAGATAAACAAATTTGGCATTGTACAACTGATTGGCTGGCTCACACCATACATGATTTCAATAGTTAAGCAGTATAACTGTTTAGCTGAACATCAACTATACAAAAGTAACTGAAGTTGGGAGCGGGCTAACCCTGGTGAGCCGTTTACAAGGCATGTGTATTTTTAGAAAATCAGAACACTGTTTATATTCAGGCACCATTTGTTCTTGCAAATAAATAATCTCTAACGTATCTGCATCCAAACTAGTGTTAAACACATCAGTGCTAACATTTTATAAACACAGCTTTGTGACTATTCACTATACCTCCATTCTTATTGCTATGACAATGTGGACTGTGGAAATAAAACTACTGTACATACAAAAAAATAGAGCACCTTTTAAACATTAAAGTATATGTCTGGTTATTCTTTTTATCTTACAATACTGAAGCCCAAGCTAATGTAAATTGCTTTAACATCTTCACCAGCGCACCTGAAATGCAGGAACTAAAACCCCAAATATTCCTCTTCAGGCAAGCCCCAGCCAGAGCATCTTCTAAAAATGTCTAAAATGACACTAAGGATTTTTTACATTCATCTGCACACGAACAAATATCTGCTATCCTCTGCTTTCTTCATATGAATTTAAAGACGGATTACCACAGTTCTCTCTCCTCTTCAAATGAATAAAGCTGGATAGAGAATGTAGCAGAAACACCTAAAATGGATTGTGAACACAGTGAAATTATTACCCAGCTAATTAAAAAAATACAGCTGTTACATTGTTCAAATAAGTATTTTCCAGGGGCCCAGTCATTAGGATTTTTTGTCTATTGTATTGAAAAACCATTCTGTAAATTTCCTCAGTTGAGCAGCTGCTGTTTGAGACTCCTCCTGAAGTCTCATGTTATCTTGTCTCAGATGCTGCACCTCCGCTTGGAGAACTGCCTTGTCCTGTTTTTCCTGGTTAACAAAGATACACGTTGAGTAAAGCGACTAGTTGCGACGACAGCATTTATTTTTGTTGTTAATATTTCTGTGCAAGTCATGCAGATATATTTTGTTGAGCTCCCTAATCCTTTCTGACAACTACTAACTCTAAGTTAATTCTCCAAATATGGTCCAACTACCTCATTCATTCTGAGAAAATATTGCAAGCTAAAAAGAAAACTAGATGCTACTTTAACACAAAAATCATAGGAGTTTACTCCATTTAACAAAAAAATTCAAGCACTTAAAAGGATAAGAAGCGTTTAGCTATTACAAATCACTTGTGAGAGCCCAAGCCATAAGGATTTGGTTTTGAGCATATGTTAAGGAAGAAAAATATCTAATTTCAAGATTTTCCCTTAACGTGATTATTTTCTTACCAAAAGCAGTCTCATTTCTACCAGTTCTGGCATTGTCTCCAGCTCAGAAATTAGACAGCAAATGAGGTACAAAGCAAGTCATTGTTATATGATCAGGATACCACAAGGCAACAAGGATGACAAATATGTCATACACAACAAAAGTGTCCGTATCCTTTGTTAAATCCAAGGTACCATAAATGGAGCTAAAGTGCCTCATTCCTTCGGGGGTATGACTATATGTAGGACAGTTATTCTGGAGTAAAGACCCATAAACTAGTTAGCCTTGGGGCAGCTTGTTCACATGATCATTCCCACAGGACCTTCTGCACCTCAGTGTAGAAGTGTAGACCACCTCAGTGATCCGACTGGATCAACCAGTGGGCTCCACCATTCGTTCATTACACCCATCTACTTTGACTGATGTGCTTTTTTCAAGCCCTTGATGAACTTGGCATAAAAATGTAACTGCTACAACTGCAGAGTAATAATATTGTTAAAGATCTCTTACCTTTCTCAGGTCAGTTTGTAGTTGCCGGAGGATGACTTCTAGCTGGTTTACTTTTCCAGTCAGAGTACTCGGAGCATGTTCCCTGTAAAGTAAACCACTACCTTCACTCTGGGTTAGTCAGAAACATTTTCTCCTCCAGCTTTTGCAGAGTAACACTTTTAGTGATAGCAAAGGAAACAAATCAGTTTAGGCATAGTTAGGAAAACATGGACAAAACCAGCATCAGCAAAAGACTATTACTGGAACATAAACCCATTGCTGCAATATCTGCAATATGACACTGCCTCTCATGCAAATCATGCAGAAATTATGATGACTTTAAGAAGGAATGGTTTAGGTATTACGTGCACATACCCTCACAGTGCAAGTCAAACTTGCTGCTAACTGGTGTGCCGAGCACATTTGTTAACAAGCTGCTTTCTGATAAGGACCGTACTAATCTGAAGCAAGCTGCAGCAGCAATTATGGTAAATAAAAAGAGCTGTTAAGAGTTCTTTTGTCTGGCCTGCAGTTGTGTCATTTCCAGTAAAGGATAAACCTATGGCTTTATGGAGACAAACATTTTGTTTAAAGGTCAAAACATATGAAATATTGCCACAGGTTAATCAAATGCATGACTGAAGGAACATACTCAGAATAGCTTCTGTTTCCTGTCTGACAATGAGCACTGTGGGAGACAGTTGTAGATGAAATTAGCCACAATGTGAATCATTTTGCCTAGGAGAGAGAAGCTGAAGAGAGAAGCTTTATATACAAAGCTGAATCAGCTGCTTCATGCAAGTGCACAAATCTGACAGATTTGCCGATGCTGAAAGTGGAATGTCTTAGTCTTTTGCAATACTTACTGATCACTAGGCCGGGGAAAGATGTGGACTTAGAAGTCATTACAATAAATGCGCTTTACCATGTAAGTAAGTTAATTTGTGTAAAATTGTTTCAAATTAAAATGTGATAGTCTAACAAGCAAGTTTCCCTCCATTTCCTGTTCTTCCATTCCTGCAGCTGAAGAGCAAAACTAATCAAAGATGTACTTTTATTTTAAAGCGTGCTAGTGGACCGATTATGCTGCTGAATCTCTGTGGTTTTAACAAGTATAGTCCTCATAGCAGCGAGCGGGGGGCGGGGAGAGAGAGAAAAAAAGATAATCTCTCCCAGAGCATTGGGAAGAATTTGAAGAATGGGGCAGTTTGGCATAAAAGTTTCCTGCAGTCCTCTGTTGCAGATTCTCTTCATTAATTTACCTCTGTATAAATGAAAAATTATGGATTTGCAAGTAGCAAATAGTTGCAAAAGGCAGGTAGGAACACCTCTTCCAAGGTCTGAGACACTTGCTGCAGTTAAGGTTATTGCATACTACAGTTGAGCTCCTGTTATTAAGAGAAAATATTTTTGTAAAAAAATACACTTTAATTTTGACATACCCAGTAGCCTCAAGGAAATCTTTTCCGTCTGGGGGACTCTCATCCAAAGGTAGCTCTTGTGTTCCCTCCAAGCCCGGAGCTTGCTGCATATCATTCAAGGTGCAAAAAGATGCTACTCTCTGATCTGCAAAAAAGTAACATAAGGATATGTTTAAAGCTGGACATATATAAAAATTAAAAGGCTATATTACAGCCATTATCCTGGTTCATTTAGAGAAATGGATGTAGGTTTCTACATCACAGCTTTGAAGACAATCAGCAGATGTAAAATAAATTCTGACTAGTTGGCTTCCCCACATCTGCATCCAAAGGCAACCCCAACGCAATTTTTTCTGCCTATCAGCAGAGTAAGACAGATTTGTTTGGACCAGCTAATGCTGATATGAACAGTAAATTGGTCTTGATGAAATCTGCAGAAAGCCATTTGAGAATTCAGGGCCACAACCAATGACAGTAATAACTCGGTGAAAAGGTTTGCATTTTCCATGGACTTAAAGCCATCAGATTCCTCAGGAATCTGCACTGTTCATTTCATACTGTTTTACTGTCTCAAGCATTTGCAGAACCTCATGGTAATCTGCATACTTGAAAAACAATAAATCCACACTATTTTTATCAATTGAGTTTTTGTTATATATATATTACTAAGGCACGCTATTCTCTACATTGGATTTCACTGGAGCGTAATCTAACAAGCACAGATGTAATTACCTATGGATATACAGTGTGGTTGCCAAAATACATCAGTCACCACATAATAGAAATATGCCATGCAGATCATAATTGCACAGAACAGGAGTAAATGATGCATTCATTAGGATTTAATTTGTCATCTTTAAAAAACCCCCAAAAATCCATATTCTTTGGAGATTGATTTAACTTATTTCTGTCAAACAAAATCCATGTCTGTAGGCTTGGATAAATTCTGGCGACAACATGCCTGCCTTGCCCTTTCTCCCCTTGCTTTAGCACCCCACAGGCCCAAAGCTTGCATTATCATGCAAACGTGCAAACATAGGAAATATTAAAGAAAGTTTACAAAAGGCAAAAGTCATCAATCCCAGACCATCACCTAGAAACGGCGTGTGATGACAGAACGGCCCAAATTCTTCATCTGAGTCAAAACCTGGAATAAGATTTAGAACGTTCCTATAAACAAAGCCAGTCCATCTCCACTGGAGCAGCTGTGGCCCTCGCGTACAGCGCACCCAGTGGAACACTCCCCGGGCAACTCATGCTGGCCCCCACTCTCAGCCTTGCCACGCCATTTTTACACACCACCACCATTACAGTAAAGCATAAGGTGTCATGCCCCGTGTCTCTAATAGTAATACCCAGTATTGTGACACAGCATGACAACTTGGCATGATACATAAAAAGACAACCCTCCAAACTCTAAGCGCCCAAACAGTGAATGCAGGCCAGATCATTTTAACGAGGAAGTAAATTTTGGTTTGAAAGTTCTACCAAACAAAAATAGGAAATCACTGAAAAGCTCTTTAAAGAGATTTTTTAAAAATTAATAGTTTTAAGGGATAGCAAAGAGTGACACTTCGTTTTATAACATAATGAAGAGAAGTTGCATGTCATTTTTTTGCCCAGTTTTAAAAACCACAGCTCATTTCCCCTGCTTTTATCCTGATTTCTAAGTAGAGATGGATCTCAGCAAATACGAACATGACTTTTTCATATGTGCTGACAATAAGGCAAGGATGTAATTTTAAACACATAATCAATGACATCAATTACAGATTTGAAAGTTGAATAGACTTAATTAGTACAGATAAACTAAAACTACTTTCCCAGACCAAATGCAGTATGTAGGCCAGAAATGAGACTGTGTAAACAACCAGTTTGAAGTACACATCTAATTACTGATTTCACCTTTAGACTGTTCACATTTTCATTACCACTTGACAGAAGAAAATAAAGCCAGCAACAAATGTTACGTTGTTGCTATTTTTTCTACAGCTAACAATATGTGACATATGACATTGTGTCTCAGAGGCAATTCTACTGTAATATATTAAAAAAAAATCTGCTTTTTTCTCCCTCTGCCAAGTAGGCTTAATTAAAAAGAATGTCCACTGGTCTGGTTTACTTTGTGAGAAAACGTTTTGTCAGTGTGTTCTCCCCAGCTCTATTTGAAAGCATCTTTTGCTTGATGGATAAAAGCAGGTGCAAAAACAGGTACATGCAGCTCTTAATGAAATCACATGATTCCATCTTTAAACACAACATTTTAAAATATTTTGGTATTATTTCCACACACAAAAAAAATATAAAAACATAGGTGCTTGCAATGAAGTATAATGTGTGGCTTAACATTTTCTTCCTATGTAATCCCTAATGAATTTCAACTCCACATAATTTAAAAATAATATTAACACTTAGAGTAGGAAACTAATTGTTAACCTTTTTTATTTTCCTAGTACAACTTAAACATATTCTTCCAATATTCATGTCTTCAAAAAGATATGAAACCATATTCTCACATTCATCAGGTGAGGAATAAAGTCACTACATGGCCACTAATAACCAGAGGTCTCCAATGATATAACGGACTACGTAAATTCCTGTGTTGCTCTTCTTAATTTTCAAAAGCCAGGGTAGTGTCAAAATCATTCTCTGAACAAGTCAGTATACAATAAATCTCTGTAATAACTAGTACATCGACAGGATCCTGGACTAGCAAAATATTTTGCCTTTCAATACTTCTCAAGACACATTTTTATTTTCAGTAACTATATCAAATCTCACTGATCTCCCTATAAGTATTCATGCTTAGCAATAGTTTCACCAATTTACTATTTAAATCAGAACTGTTTTTAAACCTGAACTGTGGTGAAGGTTGAACTTGTGCTTCTAAGAGCAAAATCTTCCTACTGATTTTTCTTTTATTTGTTCTTAACAGAATTGGCTTGACTCTATATTCATGAAAATGAAATCAAAGCTACCTTCACCAACAGTTCATTTTTTGAAATAAAAATCAAGTGTATTTTTGACTATGATGCTGTAGACGTAAACTCTGATTCCTCCAAACTACAGGGACACCTCCTATTCAATTTAAGTGATACGTGCTTACTAAACAGAAGAAAATACATGTAAGTCTCAGGCCTCTTATTTTTTTCTGGGACATCCTTGCCAAACCCCACATAGGTCCCATGCATAGAAAACTATTTGCAAAAATACATTGGTGCTTATATCAAAAGTTTAAGCAGCAGTTGATGTAGCAAGACCACAGATCAGACAAAATTCATGTCTCACTTTAAAGTAACAGAATTGTACAATGCTAATCACTAAAAGCGTGAATCCAGACTTTTATTGTTCCAGCCCACTAACAGAGGCCAGAAAAAATCTCCAGGCAATTTTGATGTACTGGAGAGCCGAAAAGGCTAAAATGAGTATAGTGCATGAAGCTGCTCTCTCATTACTAAAGCAAAGACTACCCAAAACCATACACTGACATATGCGCTGAAGCAAAAAGAGTTACACATGCATGCACTAGAAATGACCAAATGTTAACTAAATATTTTCAGGTTTTCTTTTTCTAGCAGTTTAACATACTAATTTAGTTAAAAGAATTATCTCTCATGCTGAATGCTTCACTTCTTTCTCATTATGTTATGTGTAGCATTACCTGCACTGAGCTATAAAGTATTTAAATGGACGTATTACAATAATATTAATTATAGTAGCACAGATGTTTCTGCAAAGATAAATTGGCACTAAGAAACACTGCAGTCTGATTGGCACTAAGTGGGCGTTCATAAAAATAACCTGGGGAAAAAAAAATCAGAAGTTGAAACCACCTATTTTAATGAACTAAATTAGAGACATAAGAGGGACTTTCTTAGGTTGTTAATTCCCACAGTATCATTTACCAAACACTAAACAGCTTTTTTTCAAGCTCAGTAAACCCAGTTTAAAGTAGCACAAATAGTATTAAGATCTATTTATAATAATAATCGGTATTTATGTTTGCGTCAATTCTCTTCTGTAATGACAGTAACATACATAGACATCTAGAAAGGCATCTCCTTTTGTTCCCCAAAACATCAACTAGATCCAAAATTAGCCATCAGCAACATAATACATATTTTGAAAGCCAGTCCTTCTTCCCTAACTTGGAGATCTATTGGAAGTATAATACAAAAAGAGAATTAAAAACCTATTCTTTTCTGAGACTTCTTTGTTCTCCTTTTTCTAATTTGGCTTTCCAATTTATTCTATAAATCCCCGTATCTTTATCTTTACTCAGTTCAATGTGTTGCTTGCTTTCTTTCTGTCTCTCTAACTTCTCCTTTTTCACCCCAACTGCTCTCCCTAAAGCCCTACAGTCACATCCAGTTCTACCTATTTCTTATTGCTTGCTTCAGGGATAGATACCAAAATATTACAACAATGTAATTCTAGCACGTCAACTGTTCTCTGGCTACTGTCTCTCTGCAGCTCCCACCAAAATAAAGAAGGGAACTGGATGTAGCCTATCCATGTCTGAAAGAAATGGAAGGATACCCCTTGCTACTGACTGCATGCATGCTAAAGATGATGTCTGGATAAATACCAGAGTCAAAACTATGTCCTGCAAAGGAAGGCAGTGCAAAGACTTCTAATGTTGCACTGTGCTCCAGCCTATGGACACTGACCCTCAACAGACACAGCTCAAGCAAAACCCCTTACTGATGCGGATGCTGGAGCCTGGGGACTGAAGCTCTGCACAGCTCTCATTGCACTGTGACGATCTGTCTTAGGAATAACAGAGGATTTTCAGGAAAAATTTGAAGTAAATATTCAGTTTCCCACAAAAGTTCTTGGCAAGCAAAAGCAGTGAAGATGAAATCCTCACAAAGCGAAAAGCATTATCATCACACATTCTATTAAAAAAAAAAGCATGACTTACTCCTCCCTCATGGACCACAGTTTAAAAACTGCTGTTCTACATAAGACCAAGGCTCCAGTTGGATAAAAGCTAATACCAATAAATAAATAACGTAGTCAACTGTTCATTTGGGAGGAGAGGGGCCAGTTCAAAACGAGACCGCTGTTCTTGTTACATCCATGAATAAACTCTGAGTAGAGATGATGGTAGCAAAAAAACTTGCTACTGTATTTAATCCTTAATCCAATTAATGCCAACATTATAAGCACCTAAAAAAGCTGTATTTAACATTAATGGAGATACAATTGCATTTTAAGACAGATGAAGGACTGTGAAGCCCACATTATGGATGTTGAACTGATCAAAATACGTAAATTGTCAGCATACAATCTAGAGAGATCACAGGGGAAAAACCCTGACCTTGGAATCAGATTGGTAATTCTAATAAACTGACATTAAGAAAAGAACTTGTATAAAGAAAAAGCTAAAATTATGTCTTGTATCTAGGTTCTAGAAGAGAACACAACTTTGAAATATCAGGTTGGCAAAGCCAAGCTAGAAAACAACTCTAACATTGATATCTTGAATCATTAAAACAAGTCCTATCCATTTTGTGATCTTTTTAATTGAAGGTTTGGGGGGGTGCATTATTTATTTTGGGGTTTTTTGAGACAGTCCTATATAAAATGTGACCACATTCCCACCCAGTTTAATAAAAAGATCAAAGCAGTTTTATATGCAGAAGTGGACAAACTTTAGAATCATCCACTCTCTTTTTCACATGGATAGAATGCAGAACAGTAGTTCCGACCCATTTTTAAATATTAAGGTGAAGCAACTCCTAAGTCAACAACATCAAAATACATAAGGAAATGGTACCTGCTAATTCATATTCAACACATTCCCTCCCAGTAATTTTTTTCATGACATGCCTATCAGTTACTCTTTTTAAAATTGCTTTCAAATTGCAAGGATAGAGAAAGTTGAACAAGGGCTTAAAAATTCCATTCCTTCTAAAATTTCAAATTGCAGTACTATGAATTCAGTCAAAACATTTTATAAATCATCTAACATATACACAGATGTCTCTATTTCAGAGTCCTAAGCAGAAAAGAATTACATTACTACTCAAATTCTTACAATAATTAAAGAAACCCCAATAAAACCAGCTTCTATCTTGCAACTCAGACCATCAGTTCTTCAGTATTATCTACAGATATATCTAAGATTTTTGCAATTAAAACCCAACAAACAGGCGGGTTTGAGTAGTACACCAAGTAGTAGTAATATAGTATTCATTACTATAATGAATGCACATGCAATTAATCAGGTTAAGAAACAATACACTACTTTAAATGGCTAATTATCACTGTTGGTTTGGGGTTTTAACAATGCCACTTAGGTTTGTATCGTAAGTAGTTCTGAAGAGCTTTTGATCAAATTCAAATTTAATCACTTCATACTTAGGGAAGGAATCATAAACTGATTCCCATGGTTGTTTTTAGTTAAAAAAACAGAACAACAGCTTATCACTAACTTCACAACCATTCTCCTCATAAAGTTAAGACCTGTAGCTTATATAATGACGCCTGTGGTAGTGTCATCTTTATTCACAGATACCTCTGACCTCCCATACATTCACTAATGAGAGTAACACCGGTTAAGAATTATGTCGGAAATTTTAGAACAGCACAGCAACCTAACCAAAACACCCCTCAGAAACAACAAAACACAAACATTCAACTGTATATATTCATATATACACTCAAAACCAATATCCACCTTTCTGCATTTATATATTTTGTGTAGATTTAGCTCTTGGAGAGGCAAAGGAGGTTTTTTCTTAGTTAACGTGGTCTTATAATTTAATAATGCAAACCTGGTCTATATCCTGCACCTCAAGTTCTGCTACTGGAAAATATAGTGTACATTTTTGCTGTTTTGCAAGGGTAGCTTATGAAAGATGAGAAGAACTGTAGCATCATTTGGACTACACATACAAGTTTATAAACATAACACAATAAACTCAGGGGAGTGTTACTCCTGGTTTAATTTTAAACATCTAACTTAGATGCTTTGAGTCTTTCCTTCAGAGCGCCTGATTTTTCCAGTTGATTACAGAAGGAACTTCAGCCCCTAAGCGGATGAGTTGTATCCAAGATAGACACTGAAAGTATCATGAATACCCCAAATTTTCAGTGACAATCTTCCGCTCTGAGTACTGATACTGCCAAAATAACTAAAGGGCTACGGAGGCAAACACTGGATTTTTGTAATTAAAAATGTGGCTATACAATATATATTTTTTAAAAAAGGTTTGTGTACTGAACATTGATCTTTATTCAAATTTTCCTGTTACCTTCAAACGCTCGTGCAGCATCTACCAGGTGGGACCAGTCTAGCCCTGTGGCAGTGTCTGGCAGGGGCATCAGGCCAGGATCATTGAATTTGGCTTTATCAGATAAGGACCCATCTGAGAACCAGAATTCATCTAAACAATAAACACAATAATTAGTCTTCCTATAACAATTATGTACAATTATTTTTGAAGCTACTATAATGAACTGTAAAAAATGTATAAGCAAAGAGTGCTTATCTTCATTTCTCTTGTTACTGTCTTTTCTTGTTCAATACTCAGTACGGGTGGAAGTTCAGCAGAATAAGATGGGAAGGGTTTCTAAAGGTTTCTTTGTGCCACTTTGCACATGATGTGTTCTTCATATTTTCATGCGAATGCTGTGTGAGTAGGCAGCATCCATTCTCAAAGCATACCATATTAAACCTGAGCACTGAGCAGAAAATTGCTAGATACACAAAGTTATATTTTTAAGAAGGCTGTGAAACAACATATGAGATATTTACATGCAGAGTTTTATCCTGAAACTTAAATTTCTCAGTTCCAGAAGCAATTTAAAAAATATCACCTGCTTTTCGTTTAATGCATTTGTAAATTCCAGCCTATATCCAAAACTCACTTTCACATTGAAAATACTACCCTATTATTTTAATATTTGTAGTTGCATATCTGAGGACGTAAGACTTGTGTGCCAATCTCTGGGCTCAAGTGAGCTGTAACACATTGTGTACCATAGATAGATTGTATATTAACTGAAATGTATACACTATAAAGTTGGTTCAGTTATGCAGTCTTTTAGAAAGGTACCACAAACATACATCTTAGTAGAGGAGGTGCTAATTTTCATAATTATCTTAACTAGTTTTACATTTTCCTTATCTGTCCATAGCAATCTTCACTCTGATCAATGTGAACACACATAAAATGAATATTGCTGAACAGGCACATACAGGTTCTTAAAACTGAACATAGACTAAATACATTATTTATAATCACATTACATCTTAACCATAAAGCTAATGATACAATATTGTACTTTTACTACATAGTGCAGTCAGGAACAAAGAAGTTTTGCTTCAGATGTATCTACTTTATTAAATAAAAGGCTAAAATAGTAATTTTTCTTCAAATATTTCAGAAGGAAATTTCCATCTAGTTATTCCAGTGATTTGGACTATAATATTTATGAGGAATATTTTTTCCCCATGAAAACACCAAACAGAAAAATCAATGTAGGAAAAAATGCACACATACAAGTGGAAGATACATTATAGTTTAGAAAATGGCATGTTGTCATTGTCCTGATACCAATGAACAAGAATGGCAAAGTCCATTTGAATTAAAGATTTCTGACAAAAATCCAAAAGCAGTAGCCCATTACACAGCATTCAACTGCACGGAGCAATGACTAGAGCACATCATATTCTTTGCAGAAAGCTTGTTTAAAAAAAAAATCAGGAACAGGAAAGTGAAGGATGTTTGCAAAACTCTGTCAAAAATTAGAAGTTCCACAAAGCAAAAACAATGCAGAAGAGGTAGAAAACCTGTTTACTGTGGAATTTATCTTGTTCTACAAATCATATAAAAAATGTAGTATTGTTATATTACAACTGGAAATGGCTTGATAAACCTCTGCAGAAATGTCTTTCTCAATACCCGCTCTTAGTATGCAAAACTGGATGTTGTATGAAATGGAAAATGGAAAATGTAATACACAAATATATTCTACTCATACTTCTATACTAAGATTTTATTTTCAGTTCCTTATAAACATCCATAAAATCTTATCAGGTTACCTTGGGGTGCAAATACATTGGAAGCTCAACATCAGAGCAGTCTCTGAACTTTTGTATATGACCTGGAAATTATAAGAACCTTATTTATGCAAGTACAAATGTTTTATACATCCCTGTTGTGGAAAACAGACAGAATGCCTTATGTGAAAGGCTGGCAATCCAGCTTTTGGTTCTAGACCAGCAGGCAGACCCTAAGGGACAGCCCTTGCTTTTGTATGATCAGCCTACAGGGGCTGATTGTGCAATCTGTCAGGAAGATGCTTGTTCCCAGTGCGATTCTGATGGCTTTCCAAATTACAGTGTAGGAGTGATATATTCACCAGTAATCATCCTTCATTATGCATTGTCTTTGTTAGAACCTCAGTTCACCTTAGGGTGGATCCTATTCAGTCCTGTATAAGCCCCTGACAGAGCAACTCAACTGCAGAAAGCCTGCCAGAGTAGAGATTTAAATATTGATAGCTCTGAAACACAAGTGCTTGTGCTGATGGCTGAAATTATAAGCAGAATAACTGAACAGGCATGAGTATATCACCACAGAATAATTCATTTTCAAGATATAAATTATGTGTTCTTGTGCAACAGGGGCTGGGGAGGTGGGGGCAGGGGGAAGAGGAAGAAGTTAAAAAAAAAAAGGGAGCTCTAATGATATAGGCCTCTGTGCTTTTGAATTTCAGAGTACATTGTTTGTGTTTCAGGAATGCTCTGGGTGAGATTAATTATTTCTATCCTCCTGTATTTGCATTTCCTTCCTGCTCCTCTTGCCTTGTTACCTCCACTTTTTCTCTGTATGACTGCCGCATTAGCAGCTGCAAACTTCCTATTGTCTTCCTTTTTGATCTGTGCAAAGGTGGCAAGTTGTGCTTGAACATGCCCACCTCTTGTGTCCAGGAGGGTATGCCTAATCTCATAGGCCACTACGTTCATTGCCTACAAGATTGGTTTTGAAGCAACACAGACTTACCCCTCATTTCCTTTGAAGAAACAATGTAACTGTTATCTTTCAGTTTTAAAGATTGCTGTACTCCTTTTGGCACAAAATCATTGATCTTGTGGTTTCTGGTCCTTTCAATTATGTCACTCCCTACACTTAGGAATTTCTATTATTGATACATAAAAGTATAAAGCATTTTGAAGAGTCCTTATTTTCACCAAAATTATATGATCAGTTTCCAACAGAGCTCCTCAAATTGACTGTCATCGGTCCCACATACCTCTGTATTCAAAGAGTAACTAGTTATACAGAAAGAAGAAAGATTCACCTGACTTAACCTTTTCCACTTCCAAGTATCCTGCTTCAGTTGGAACTGCTACTTTTATGCAGACTGTAGATCTTTAAAAAGTATCTGCTAAGTACTCCTCACTTACTGTGCTCAAACTAGATGTTATTTAACAAACAGATTATCTCAAAAGATGCTGCAGCTGAAGGAATGTATCAAGACATATGCACACATAAATCCCATTGTCTGCTTCCTGTTGTTCTTTCCTGCAATCAGCAATTATATCTCTACGGTCCTCTTCTGCCTGCCGAACCCTACCCTTCTTCAGTATTACCGAGGGTTGCCCAAGGTCTCCCTTCAAAGATGCCAGCCTGCTAGTAGACTTTCTCATGGATATATGCTCATGTTACTGTTAGAATAGTGGACATGTGCACCCAATAACTACTTTTCCCTTCCCTTTTGTCACTGAAAGTAGTCTCATGTTCTGGTCTGGTGAGTTATTCACTGTGTGAGAGTCTGTAACAGACAACATACATACTTCTTTGGTTGCGTGAATTATTTAATCAACAGTCTTTATCTCTTTACTGAAAAATGGATTTCCCAATTGTTCACATGTATATCATCAATACACAGTGATGCTCCATTTTAATGCTGCTTCTTATCAGAGGTTAGTTTTGGATTGAAAGTAACACTGGTAGTAAGCCAGTTTTAAGATAGATTTTAAGTTAATAACATCACTGCAGATATACCAGCTGCACTTATAGCAGCCTTTTCCTTATAGCATGTATAATCTGTGAACCTTCAGAATTTGTTAGTGTATCATTGCAAAATATTCTCTTCCTTATGACCCTCTGCACTACACATATCCTGCACCTTGCTCCTTTCCTCACAGCATAGGAATGTCATGCCACTGTATCACTTAGGGCATTTTTCTTTCTCCTTTCTTTTTGTGTTTCCTAATAAGTGTGTGCCATGGTGCCTGCAACGTCAGTCAGACTGCCTCCATGTATCTTCCTGGGTTTCCAACTTGTGTTAGTACACTAGTTTTGTATCAGTGGTTCTCATTGTTTTCATTCTTTCCCTGCTAGTTCAAGCTGCCGTGAATTTGCAAGACAGGGATAGATTTGTACCTGCAACTATGTATGGCATGCTAGAATCACTCAACATGAACGGCACTGCCTCAGCTAGGGAATCTTTAATGTCCCCAAGGTAAAATTCCAGAGTTCTCAGCTACACGAGTTCTGCTTTCTGCTTTAAGTTAAAAATAAGATAAAATGAAATAAATCTTTCTAGATTTGTGTGCTGTGTGCAATCAACAGCACTCAACTGTCAGAGCTTGCATTTTAGGCTTTACTGAAAGCAATTCTTTCACTTCACTTCCCCCAGTGATAAACTAATAAATCCTATAGCTTCATTTTCTCATCTCCTTCCCACAGTCAACATCACACACAGTTAAGTTTCTGCTTCCATATTTGCATGGTTGTTCCGTCTGATAATTCTGATTTCCCAGTAAACTGAAATTCTTCAGGTTGCCTATTATGCTTCGGTTTTGGTGCTGCCTTGCTTACCTATTAATCACACTCTTTTCCTTGCTAGAGGGATCTCACGAGACTTGGTGCTGCCACAATATTTCACGTATCACATGCTGGGTAATAACATGCAAGAATGTATCTTTCTAAAATGAATTCCAGCCAAACCCACACTTTTCCCACTGCCTTCTGTAAACATTAAATATCAGTAAAATTAAAATGTTTTAAGATCACAAACATATGTATTTTACAAAAGACAGCTAACAAGCCTGACATCTGAAACTACAACCTTAAGAAACCTCTCACATCACCACTGCTATAGAACGTAAATAGCTGCTACACACTGATTACAAAAACCTTCCTGACAAGAGCCAAAGTTGGTTTCTTATATGGAGATACCGACTAACCTTATTTTGAAAGCAAAGGTGGGGCAAGTCACAATATGTTTGTTTTCAGAGTGTAATTACAGATAAACAATTAAATCTTCCTTGAAACAGCCATCATAAAAGATCCTATATTGCTAGCATTGAAAGGAACTTTTATAATACAAAACCAGAAAATAGAGGTTGTACATGTAAACAGCATGAACTTTGGATATCAACAATAAGCTTCACTTTGACAGAATACTAGTTTCATGTTTTTTCCCAGCTATTTGTATAAATAAACTTTCTGTATCCAAGAAGCAGCGAGAATGGAAAATAAGGTGTCTAAGACAGAACTAATACACAAAACACTAAAATTTCACCGCTGGAGGAGCAGTACACAGCTTGAGTGTACACTGTTCATTGTCTTGTGTCAATCTCCAGAATAAAAGCCCACTGAAGTTTTGATCCCACTGCACATTTACCTTTACAAGAAATGTCTCTAAAAACACAGGCCTAACAGTAAAAGAAAAAAATGCAATCAAGGGTACCTGATTACATATGTATCTCCTTCACAGACTGTAAAATCTGCTGAATTAGTCTCAAATGAAACAAAACGGATCTTCATTCTCTATCATTAAAAGCAAAAGATCTTTTCACACCAAATTTATAGTAAAGATTTTCACTCTGATAGAAGAATATTTTTAGAATAGCAAAAAGGTACACCAAGCATGCATTCCCATCTGAAGCAGGAATTCAGCACTTGTTTGCGATACCAGTTTAAAATTAACCAGTGGTTAGTGACTAAAACTCGGTCTCATAGCTGATGCCACTATAACTAGAAAAGTGTAAGGCTTTAGGCTTTGTAAGGCTAGTGTAAGGTTCTAGGCTGTAACTAGAAAAATGTAAGGCTTACTTCTGAAAGTTAGAATATGACTACTAGCTCCTGAAGGACAGGATGAATGATGGAGCCTTTTTTATTAGTATTTCTTTTAAGTTATCTGTCTGCATTCTCTCTGGACATAAGCCTACAAAAATTCTTAATGCTTTCAAGAAATCCACCCACAACTTCTTAACTATGGACTTCAGAGTCCACAACTCCTATACTATTTTTTTAAATAGTGCTCAGCGGTGATGCAATATTAAAGTAGCTAACTAAAAGTGCCCCTTTTTTTTCTAGATTGGGTGTCCTCTATAGGTCAGCCTAAAATAACTGAGATGTGAAGCGATTTAGCATTTTTTAAAAAACAATTCACAATTTAAAATATATAAACATGGATATGTAGCCTGAATATATCTATCTGGCTGCGTACATTTGGGCTGTGGTATAGAAGCACGTATATTTTTCACAAATTCCTTTGTTGTTTTTTTAGTTTTATTTTCATAATTTTCATTCCATATTTTCTGTAAAACTACTACAAACTTTATAGTTCATTGCTCCATACTGGAATTATTCAAAGTTAATCATATAATAAAGATCTTGCTTATGAAGACCTCACAAGTGAAGAGGCACCTTCATAAAATAATTTTAACTTAGCATCCCAGATTACTCTTTTTTTTTCCTGCTTTTAAAATTGAAGTATTATTTGCAAAGGTTTTATTAACATGTTAAAATAAGTTTATCAGCAAATTCAGTTTTGAAATTGGAGATGGTGATGACAACTATTGCACATTTCCTTTTAAGATATTATCAAAAGGATCATCTAAATATAAGCTGTCCCATTTAGCTATTTTATTGAATATATTCATGAATATGTCAGTAATTTGAATGCACACAAAAAATAAGTAAATAAAAATATTGAAACAAAACAGGCAGGCTTGGCTTAATTAGGTCACCACTGCAACATAAAATTATAATAAGAAATATCTTCAGATAAATGTTTGTTGCCTATCACTGGTCTCATGAAAATTTTTGGGAAATAAAATGAATGCTGTCTCCAAACATGATAAATCTGAATTGATCACTAAGGGAAGCATAAGTATGTACTGCTGACCAAATATGCTTTTGCTAGGATATGTAGAACCCTGATTTGACATTTCATAATTTCACCTTAAAAGTAAAATCTAACTTAATATTTTGTGATTTGTTTGAGTTTTTATTACAAATATTCCAACAGCAACAATGACAGCAACAATCACTCACTTCTCAGATTTCCCATTCCAGGAGTCAGGCTCATTCTTGGAGGCAGTGTGCTGTGATACGGTGGAGTAGTGCTGAATAAGATATCATTTGGCAAAGCCTGGTCTAGCATTGAACTTCGAGAGCTAGCATATGAAGATCCTCTTCGATTGCTACATATACTCTCGTCAGATAAGGTACGATAAAGTGTCCTCCGTGGAGAAAGGTTTCCATAAAATGAAAACTAAACATCAAAATATGAAGATATAAGAACATGTATTACTGGTTAAAATAATTCACATGATCATATCCCGTCATCTGTTCTTGGGAGTATTTTTCTGGGCAAGCACTCTGGAATTCTTGAGCTACTGCAGAAGATCAAAGATTTATTCTACCGTATCAGATCTACTGGGGCCTCAAAGGAGTTACTGAATTGGATCTTCATCCTTCCTTTTGATACTTTGGAACACATCACCATGAATTAATCAGCTACTGTGTAGTTTTATTAATTCTGAAATGTTAAATTAAACCTCCACAGCCTTATGACTGTTTTCCAGAAATATATATAAGGTTACCAACTCTGGCAACATTTATTCAAGACTATGCATAGAACTGTGTGATTTTAATTTGAAATGACTATGCTTTAGTACCAAACATTCTGAATTAATATATGGTGCAATATAATTCATTGGACAATAAAAGTGACTTGAGACACTGCATCTCTACAGATTGAACAAAATAGACTTAGAAAAGAGGATAGAATTCAGTGAAAACTGCTTATGCATTTCAAAAAGTTACTTAAACACAACCCAAATATCTACACTAAAACAAGATGTTACTGTATTGTAAAACTGGGCCATTCCACTTCGTATGTTGTTCTTCAGCACTGCAAATCCAGTTATTCTTCACATCTACAGAGGTCAGTTATTGCCTTAATTATTTTAACTGGTTTGTCCTGCATATAGCAGTTTCATGTCCTGTCCTGTTTTCTTTGTAATTAATTATGTGTTGCACACTGCCTATGCGCAACATATGATTAAGAGCAGTAGCTTTTTGAAACAGTGAATATACCATAGAATTAAAGGTGTCCACATTGTTTTATTTCTGACAAAACTTGCTCACGGATGAATACTCCTAAAAGGAATATACAGAAACACTCAATCATGCCACAAGACACAGTCTTTACAAAATACTTAAATACACTTCATAATGCTAGCTCAGGAAAGCATCTATCTTGATGACAATATAGAATATGCTCAATTGTTAGGATGCTTAACTGTGTCTCAGAAAAAATGAGGGAGATATTCATATTCTAATGTAGGAAAGCATCAAAATACTACATCAGTTCTAGAGATTTGCCTGAAACAGATAGGGGCTGTGGGGATAAACATCAATCAAAACTTTAACACACACGTAAAATATCCACAACAATAGACATAAGCAGCATCCCTAAATGGATGGATAGAGGACATACACAGCATCCTTAAATGAATGGATATACGGTATCCTTCTACAAGCACTGGTTAAAGAATATCAGAAGACCCTGAGCCACATTAGGCAAAGGGTTAAAAGCCTTTACCCTCTGAATTGAAGGGTCTCTGACTCTTTTTCCTGCACTCAAGATTCCCAGCAAGCATCCTGTTGCAATTCTTGGCTGTTACTCAAGTCTCCTCAACCTTATACTGTATCTTCTACCTATAAAGATTGTTCATTTAGCTATGCAAACATGTTGAATGTTAATTGTTGGAGCTTTACAGAATTTCCTTTCAGGGTGTGACAAAAATAGTGGGAATGGTGGTGTAGGGTTGATGGTTGGACTTGATGATCTTAAAAGGTCTTTTCCAACCCTAATGATTCTGTGAAAGATTAAACATTACCTAGAGGGCTCATTATTCCCTGATCTATGAAGAAGGTAAAACAAAACCAAACCAAAATGTGATTTCATTCTGTAGAATCTTACATATTCAGAAAATTCCTTTCTGGTTTTGCTGTCAAAGACAACTGACGCACCTATACCAAGATTACTACCCTCTATGAAGGCATAATCAAAGACTAGATACTGCTGAGTCCTACGGCTGGGGATCCCCTGAGAGTCAGGGCCTATGGCCTCTCTTAGTGAGCTTTTCTTTGAGTGTCTTGGGAAGGGAAAAGGACAGCAGTAATTTATCTCAGGATGGCCACACCTCCTCACTCCTTGTTGTTTCTTAGTTAGGTATCTAGAAACGTTGACAGCTCTTGAAATCATCACATAAAACCAATTATTGTATCAATCGTAGATCATAAAAACCTCTAGGACTTTATTCATGAGAATTTGAACACATATAACGCATACTTAACATACTGCATGTTAAAAAAAAAAAGATCTGAATTTTAAATTTAACTTTGCATTTAGAGGATTCCCGTGTGTTACTTTTGTTCAGACATGATGATTATGCTTTTTAGCACATTGCATAAACACAGTGGGTTAAGAGAGCATTGAGTTAATATTGAAGTGTGACAATTATCTTGAGTAATTTAACTGCTTTTCGCTTTATTCCATATTAAGCACAGAATTCAGAATCATGTATCCTTTGGGGAGTAGTAAATTTTAAGTTCTTTATCCACTTTTTCTGAACTTTTAAATATTACCAATTGTCATCATACTATAAAGATTAGATGTATGCTCTCCACTAGCACTGACAATTATGCCTTTTGAGCAGTTGCCACTGATACTTACACAAGATTGTGATTCAGACTTCAAACAGAATTGTTGGGACTGAGCATCACAGGGCAGGGGAAAGCAGGTTGCTTTTATTCATGTGCCTTAACATCATATGGGGTGTATAAATTTAGGCCTCCTACCTTGAAAATCTTTGAAATTTTAAGTTGCTTAACTTGCACCTGCTTCTGCTCAAGCTAAGCAAAGACATACTTAAACAAATACTACATTTCATGCCTAATCATCAAACTTGATATCATTATCATATTGTGGGAAATGATATTTTGGGACTTATAGTCAGTATTTATAGCATGCCCATGGAATATATTTGCTTGTACAAAATGATACTTCTCTATAGCAATTTTGGGAATATCAGAAATTAATTTCTAAGGTAACTGTGTCTGAGACACACAGAGCCAAAAAAAAGTAGCTAACCTTTCTTCTCCCCTCCTCCAGAGCGAGGCTGTCTGGCAGCATCAACCTCAGAAAATCTTCTTTGGACAAGACTTGCTGGCTTTCAACAATGGCATTCCTCACAGAAGTTTGGAGTGGACTCGATGCAGACACAGCATCAATATCATCATACACTCTGTTGAGACAATTGGTGTTTTTAGCAAAAGAAGCAATAGTGCTCTTGGATTTGAAAGACTGCATTCATTTTCTGTCACAAAGTAAAAATTGTTAGAAGTATCTCCCGACACAGCACACTCTTGGTTAAAACATTTTTTTGACCATTTTCTATTTATGAAACTGTTTGTGGGTCCAAAATGAAATTCTTAAACCACTGAAAAATCAATTTTAGGAATTCTAGAGAACAATTTAAAAAAAACATAACATTTCTTTTCTCCAGGCTTGTCTCTTTTTTTTTTTTCCCACACCACACTTCTCTATTATTAAACGTTTCCAATAGTTCATCACAAAATAGTTCAACTTTTACTTCCTTAGCAAATAAGAAAATCAATATTTTATAGTGTGATATTGTATCCAGCTTCACGATCTGGAAAAATTACTATGGTCATCAATGGCAATGTTTGAAGTGTGTTGGTAACTGACTGTGCCACATGCCAAGTGTGGTTTATTATCAGCAATTTCATAAACATCTTTAGCTAAATAAAACAGCTGTCCTCCTTAATTATCAGCATATAAAAATGTATTTACAGTCAACAAAAGACTGTCAAACTGAATTATTATCTTTCAGCTGCCTTCCAGTGAAAAAAGAGAGAGAGAATTTTAACAGGCTTAGTCTGGAAATGCAGTCGAAGGAACTAGAAATTCCCAATCACACAGAACATACATTTGTGAAGCTATTACTTACTGCCAAGTGCAGCATAATCCCTCTGTCTTTAGCAGACAGGAAACAAGCTTTGCTACAGTAAAGTGTAATTCTCAGTGAATTATATCCTATAGTGGCAAAACACTCAGCAATTGACCTGATTATCATTATCATTGCTAATTAGAGATGTTATTTTTTTTCAACATAATTATCCTCAGAGAGATATTTCCTCTCTGTGATGTATAGAAAGCTTTCCTAGAAAGAAAGAGGTGAAGCAATGCTCTATGGCATGGAAAAATCTGAAAATATTTTCTGATATATGAAGTGCTGTTATATTCAATTAATATTTCTTAAATAGAACAAGCTCCTGAAGATTCTTTTCTAAATTGCTGTGGTTTCAGTCTGAATACCATGATTCAGTAAGCAATTTTGTTTTAAGGGTTCCATTCAAAATAAAGAGAAATTGTTTCAGGAGTTCATCTGAACTTCAAAATGCAAAAACTTGTGGGAATCAGTGAAGTTCCCACTTTTTAAGTGCAAACACTACTATGACTGAACAATTTAAAAAATCAAAACATTGTGGGGCGGGGAGGGAGTCAGGGAATGAAATCACCAGTACAATAGCACAAAGAAACACAAATAACCAGGACAGGAAGGTAGTAACATCATCTCCTTTTGAAAAATAGGAATTTAAGAGCTTAACTTCAGGCTCCTATTTCATAGCACATATATTCTAGGTAATATTTTAAAATCTGAATCTTGCCATAAATATGCACATATTTGCACCCAATATCTCATATTGCATACAACCCATTCCCATTAAAGAAAGAGTAGTCCCATATTAAGCATTTGAAAATCAGGTACTGCATGTCATCTTGTCAATCTATCAAGATATATTGGGTTGACTATGATTTATTGAGAGATAGAACTGAGTAGCTTATGCACAAAAAGAAAGCAAGGAGGTTATCTGAGAGATAACAGGAATTTAAAAGTTAGTTTTAAACAGCAGATTCCAGCATTACTTATGTGATACTTATTTCCTACTGCTGCAACACTGGGAAAGTATCATCTCTATGTATATTTGAGACACTGCACCTTTTCCTTTGAGTACAAGCCTTTTTCTTCCACCTAAGAACAACACATTTCTCATGAGCTATGCCTGTGTTAAGCTGTACATACAGCTGTTTGTTAGAAGTGCTCTGAATATTTTTGCCTAAATGTCACTTGCTAGAAAACTATGTAGTTTTATTGAAGCCTGCACGTCATGTAGAGTCTTGTGAAGAGCGGGTCAGATATAGCCACACTTAATCTTTTTCTTGCGGGGTCCTAACCGCCAGTTTGTATGTACCTGTTCATTAAAGCAAAGTCAGAAAAGATATCAAATAACCACTAAAATGACCCCAGCTGGCACTAATTTTTTAAAAGTATCTACCATATATCACTGACACATTTATGGTCATCTCTCTCATCTGTAAGGTATTAGCCAATGTAATAGGCAACAAGGAAGTAAGTTTTAATACAGAAACATCAGGAAGTAAGCTTTTTTCAACCAATTAAAGTTCCTGAAGATTTGTAGACAAGGTCTTTAAGACCTTAATAAAACTGCACCTTTCCAATTACTTCCTAGAGATTCAAAATGGAAATTCAGAATGTCTGACATAGCCATACATTTTTGCCTACACACATTTTCAGAAATTTCTGTCAACTTGCTTTACTTGACACATGGGAAAAAGATGCAGCTGGATAGAACAGAGGAGAAAACAGTATCCTGTATGGTTGTTGTCCTTTTTTCTTTTTTTGGATGTAACTTTGATACATAAAAGTACAGAAAAAAACCCCAAAAATTTAAAGGCAAAGTGGAATTTGTAGTTTTAAATTTTTCTATCCTATTTTGAAATTTACATTCATTACCCTTCTTCCCCCAACTTAAAACAGAGGTCTTACTCATGGCATTCAGAAACTTCAGATTCTTCAGGTGTAGGACTTCCTTCTGATTTTTTCCATCCAATGACATATTTACTCACTGCTCCTTGTCTGTGGTATGGTTTTGAAACTGACCCGGAAACCTGTTGACTACTATTCTGCGACACTATATAGACTTTGGAGGTATCCAGGGAGCCACTCTTTTTAGAGCAATGTGTTGATGGGCTTCCTGAATGGTGTGACCCACTGAAAAAGTAAAGAAAACACACAAAAGCAAAAATGAAATCTGCTATACAACAAATCAGAAATGCTTTCTGGTACGTAGCTGTAATTTTTAATATTAAGAATAACTTAATATTAAGTTTTTATCAAGGTTAAAATCAAGGTAGTAATATTGGTACAGTAGTTTTCTACATTCCAGTGGTGTATACATTAAAGCTCTTTGAGAACACAATTGTGATGAGTTTCTAAAACAAGCAATGTATGTAATTCAACTTGCTGAAATGCCAGTGCAAACTGATATGAATTAAAAGACTAAGTTTGAGACATTTATATAGAATTTGTGTGTGCGATTTTAAGTAAATATGTACACACACATTATTAATGGTGTAATTCCATTTACATCAAGAACTACATAGGGAATTACCCCAAATATCTCTAATTATAAAACGTATGTGCTTTTGCACTTCATGTTAATTTTGCCAGTTCACACACAAGCTGTCTTTCATTCAGTACCATTGAGAATTTAATATTAACAGAAGTAAATTTCAGTTCAACAAAAACAGTACTCTGGATAATTTCAATAGCCTCTTTTATTATGAATAATAGCAGTAGTAGGCACTACTGAAACCTTTTACTAAAGACTCTCAAAATTATTTAAGATTAACTAAAGCAAACACTTTCTTGAAGAATAAATTTCTTTTTTCATCTTGGAGGTGAAGTAAGCAAAGCATTCAGAAACCCGATGCCTTGCCTAAAATCAGAAGCTGGAACCTGAAGCAGCAGCTCCTAACTTTTGTTGTTGGTTTACAAATACCAAACACAATGGTATCTTTTAATCTAATCCCAGGAGCATTGGATTAATTCACAGAAGACCAGAAGGTGCTGCTGAAAGTGTAACAGACATGGCTACTTTGCTGTCCATGCAGAGTCAAATACAAGCAATGCACATGCATAGATGTCATTAGATCAAATTAAAATGCCTGCTGTGGAAGAAGGTTGAATCATTAAGGTAATGGATTAATAATTTTGATCACAGTTAGTATGTGCATTTAATCTTAAAACCAATTTATTTTCTCTCCTCTCTCCCTCTTCCTCCCCAAAAAGTAGAAACAAGATTATGAGGTTTTGGGGGAAGAAAATAATGTGGGTGATGTTAAAACCTTTTTTGCTTGCTATCCTTGCATATATGCAAATAAATTATGTAAAGATGTGGCAAAGAAAATAATTCAAAAAATTGATATCTAAAGATGAAGAAAACATTGAAGCACGATGTAAAATACATATCAAATGGACAGCAAGGACATTATCCAGAGGATTTTAGACTTCTCTTTGTAACTAAATTCAAGAAAAATTGAGCATCCAACCTCATTATGTAGGTTTTAAATAAGTGAATATTTTTGAAGTGAAGAAATAAAATACCTATAAAACCCTGGTTTTGGATAATGAGTTCAGTGCAATGGTTGGAACAAGCAGTATATATTTTTAGGATCCAAAAGAGATGTTCTATGTAAGAAACAAAGCAAAACTAAAAGCAATGATGCTAAGCTGTTTCAGCTACAGTAGCATGAAGGCGTTTGATAATTCATGTGCATAATTAATATAAAATAGGAGAGATAAACCCATTAATAACAGAGCTGTGAGACATAATGTTGTGCATAGCTCAAGTCAGTCTTGCAGTTTGAGATACTGTTTCCCACAGCACGTTTAATTCTGTAAATCTTACTCGGACACTGCAGTATTAGTTTTTTCAGGAGGTTCTTTATCACGTGACAGTTGGACTTGATGATCTTAGAGGCCTTTTCCAACCTTAATGATTCTGTGATGATGTTAGAGAATCAGGCCAGTATCTTTCAACCAATCAACATCTTTTCTGTGCATTGCAGATATTCAGTAAACAGAATACTATTTCAATAAAGAAAGGTTGCATTTATAGACCAATGTCATTCCACCAGTCTGTGGTCTTGTTTCTTGAAGTTTTACACTGTTTAGCTACTGCAGAACAAGTTTACTGTTTACATTCATAAAATAATTGTAAATGAATGCCTCAATAGTGTTAGAATTTCATCATTATACATTATGAAGAAACACAAACTCAGTGTCTGACCAGTTGGAAAATATACATGGGATTCAGCAGTAGATATCATATGCTTATATGTTAACTCCAGTTTCTTATGTCTATTCGAACATCAGCGTTGCAGCATCACAACTATAAAATGAGATTTTTTTTAATAATGTATGCCTGTGGGTTCTGTAAAGGTGATGCCAGCTTTTAAACCAAACTGTGAAGTTATTTATCATTCCAACATAATTTGAAGAATATGTAAGCAAGGTTTAAATAAAGCAGTTGGGTCACATAATAGAACTCTGACATTTTCCTACAGCAAAAAGATTTGCACACAAATTAGAAGGTGACCGTTTGAAAACATTGCTATTGCCAAAGTGGAATTGGGCAATCCTAATGTGAGTCGTCATCTCAACAATAATTACTACTTTGGAAATGCCGAGGTAAGCTCACTTAAAATCTAAATGCTTTTTAAAAAAATGTTTAATTAATCCATAAAACATGTATTCCATAGAAGTGAGCAGCAGATTACTTAATGGTTGCCTGGCACTTTAAATATGACAGCTGCCACACAATTGCTGAGAATTCATATTCTAGCCATTAGAAATCTATTTCAACTCATTATGATGAAGTCCTAGAAACACTGAGCTTACTTTTAGCGCTTTAGAAGTCTCAATATATAAAATTAAATCTCAACATGCACAAAGCAGAATAAATCTGGAACTTCTGCATTATCACAGGGGTAGCGAAAGCTTACTGTGAAAGCATTTACCTAGTTTCCACAATAGTCTATACAATAGTCTATACTATCTTCTATAACTTGTGAAAAAAACCTCTAGAAGTCAGAATAAGTATACAAGATTAATTCGCTCATGTCAAGCATATAAAGAAATGAGGATACAAGATATTATTTGGTTATTTTCCTGTACTGATTGACATTGAAAACAGGAAAATCAGAGGGAAAAATAGAACGATTTCCTTCCATCCTTTACAGAGTAAAAGCCTTAACACATAGACCAAAGCTTCAACTTCAAAGTCATCATAAAATGAGAATTGGGAGAGAAAGGCAACCAGCTTTAAAAGTGTACTTTCAAAGTTTGCTTTAGAACAAAGGTACCATGCACACATTCCACTGGTAACAAAAAGAGCAGCTGAAAAATCAAGCAGAAATTCAGGTCAACAGACAAAATTGTAAAGCATACATCACAATAATGCAAATTAGGGGGGATGGTATACAATCCAGTTTCACCATATGTAAAAATTATCACTACACATAAAAATTGTCCACTGCAATTTTTCTGATTTCCCTCAGCATTACCTCCCAGGTAATTTTTTGCACTGTACTGAAAAAAAAAAAAAAAAAAGTATGTGAAATAAGTTCTAGGTGCAAACTTCACTTTTACTCAGGGATGTTCTTCAACTTTAAAAAACTTAAGCAATGTGCACAAGGTCACATACAAAGTCTCCATCAGCTCTGGGAGTAGGGCTAGCTATACTTTTTAGGCAGACTCATCAAAAATTGCCTGAAAACTACTCATATAGGCATTTAAATACAACAAAAAAATTCAAAATCAGTTAAGTGCACTTTCAAAGAAAGGTAAACAGAATAACAACAATGAAAAAAAAGAGTTTTCTGTATGCTAATCTATAATCCATAATTTGTAAGAAACACATACCTGGAATGAGAGGAGATTTCACTTAGGTCCCCCATACTGCCTTCAGCTGTATGACTGGTAGAAATAGCAGAGGCATAGCTATGAACAGCATAGATTTTAGCTGGATCATCATCTGGGCCAGGAGTTTCAGAAGACTCGGCCCACTGCTCAGTACGACAATGTACTCCAGACCTGCTGCCAGCAAGGTGCAAAGGGGCCAGAAGAGGAGCAGGCATGCAGGGAGCTGTATCAATTCCACTGTCAGTAGAAGCCCCCTTTATATATGTTAATCCAAGCAGCTCAGGATCCATCAGATCTCCAGAACCAAAGTGTTTTTCATCACTGTTGCTGGATGTATTACTGGATAGGGTGTTGCTGCTTGAGTGGCTTGAACAGCTTTTGTCTCCAATCTGAACAACAAGAAAACACACAAAAAGAAGATAAATTACTGAATTTGTGCCACTCAAAGACCATTTTCTTATTTTTTACAGTATGTTATATTATAACTGTGAAGTATAAAACCAGCTAATTATATCACCCGTTTCTACGAAATGAATTGCACAACTGGCTAGACATATTAAAGGTTGATGTCACTGCAAATAAAAAGGCTCTAGTTACATCTTCTATGGCAAATCTTAAGATCACACTTGAATTTTCTTATTAGAGGATGTGCTTAACATCCATAAAATTGCATTGCTGAACAGTTAAAATAAGCATTTGTTAAAGCTAGAAGCATTAGTAATTATTGTTTAAACAAGTTCTACTGCAAATCTGAAAAAAAACGAAGACTGAATTAACCTTGGCTTTTTCTCAATGTGGGGTAATATGTAGCTTATTGGATCAAATCCAATTGGATGTGTGGCTAGTTAAATTGAAGCCAATTGTGATGTATGTGTACCAGATGAAAGTAACTCAAGTTACAAGGCCCTAAGCTAAGCATGGCTATTGAAGCGGAATAACTATCTCAGACATTTGTGTCAATAAAGTTGGGGGATTTGTTGTTTTTTTTAAAAGAGATTTTATAGAGAGTTGGATTAACTTATCAATGTGACAGAACGGCCAGAATTAGGGCAGATGGACTTCTATTAGGTAGAAATTAAGTGGGAAAGGTGACTAACTTTTTTATCAGATTCCCCTCCTAGCAGATGCATATAAACATAGCTATTGCTTACACATTAAAGCAGTTAAACAAGGCAGCCTTTCCAGAAATGACACTTCTATTCCACATGGAAATTAACAGGCCTCAAAATTTGAGAAAATTATTTTAGAAAAAAAGGAGGGGTTACATTTGCGTTCATCCTAACCTTTACAAGGTGGCTATCACCTTAAAAACAATGGAACAATTGATAAAATTACAATGAACAGTTTTTTTCAAGGAGAGGGACTTGGAGAAGGGTGTCTGGAGAAAAGGCATGTCACTTCTTATTGTAAATGTAAAATGGAACCAAAGTGGGAAGAAACAAGGTGGGGGGAGGAAGAAAGCTCAAAGGCATAAAATTAGCCTCAGAAAACACACTGCATCTATGACACCCCCCCCCCCTAATTTCCTGTACGTTGCTGGACATACATGCCTAGGCACCTCCTTGGCCGTGCAAACAGCAGAGAATCCGGACAACAGTTATTGACATAGTTATCTTGAACTGCTCGAAGTTCACCATGGCAATACCTTAGGATCATTTTATGCATTTCCTTGTGCCAAAAGAAATTATTGTATGAAAGCTCAGCATGGCTCTAATTGTTATATGTTGTTAAAGATTAAAAAAAAAAAAAATCTCCAGGAATATGATATTTATTCCAGGAGAACAAAGACAGCTTGAAGATAACCAGTGAAATTCCCCCCACTCTCCTTCCTCCAAGTTAAAACTGATAAAAAGACAGTATAGACATTTTTTTCCAATTTTTTTTCCAAGTTCTTGTACAATTGCTGGAGCCATCAGTGTGAATTTCACTGGCTTGCAGAGACATATAGCGAATCAAGCTAAACAAAAAGTGGCTGTGCAAGAGAACATTACAAAGTCCTTTTACAAGGTGACTTTTTTTTCTGTTTTACGGCACCTAACACAAAAGAACCTCATTTTATTAGTATTATCTTTATAATAATGCTAGTTTTTACTTTGTACAATATAGTTCTCTTGCACCTGCACTATGCATATGCAGGCAAACACAAACATAAGCCCATTATGAAATATTCTGTTCAGATCCCCACCATCCAAAAAAGCATGTGAGCTGCCATTACCATAAAACTCTGACGTTAAGCAAACTCATAACTTACATTTGTTATCAGTGCTCTGTTTAACACTGATTGCTACATATACTGATTCTAGCTTTCTGCCAACTTTGGCTTAAGATAAAAGAAAGTATTGTTGTCTTCACATGCAGAAATCTACAGTATGATTCTGTTTATGATAGTACCTTTCTCATAGAATCATAGCATTGTTTAGGTTGGAAAAGACCTTTAAACTCACCAAGTCCAGCTGTAACCTAGCACTGCCAACTCCACCACTAAACCATGTCCCTAAGCAATGCATCTACACACCTTTTAAATACCTCCAGGGACAGTGACTCAACCACTTCCCTGGGCAGCCTGTTCCAATGCTTGACAACTCTTTCAGAAAACAAATTTTTCCCAGTATCCAATCTAAACCACCCCTGGTGCCACTTGAGGCTGTTCCCTCTTGTCCTATCTCTTGTTACTTGGGAGAAGAGACTGACACTCACCTTACTACAACCTCCTTACAGGTAGTTGTAGAGAGCAATGAGGTCTCCCCTCAGCATCCTCTTCTCCACACTAAACACCCCCACGTCCCTCAGCCGCTCCTCATAAGACTTGTGCTCTAGACCCTTCCCCAGCTTCCCTGTCCTTCTTCGGACACGCTCCAGCATCTCAATGTCTTTTTCTTGTAGCGTGGGGCCCAAAACTGAATACTGTATTCCACCGCAGTGGAATTGTATTCCACTGTATTCCACCTGCGGCCTCACCAGGGCTGACTACAGGGCAGACAGTCACTTCCTACTCCTTGTGGCCACACTATTTTTTTTACAAGCCAAGATGTTGCTGGCCTTCTTGGCCACCTGGGCACACTGCTGGCTCCTGTTCAGCCAGCTGTCGACCAACAGCCCTGGGTCCTTTTCCTTCGGGCAGCTCTCCAGCTACTCCTCCCCCAGCCTGTAGCATTGCATGGGGTTGATGTGACTCAGATGCAGGACCCGGCACTTGGCCTTGTTGAACCTCATAGAATTGGCCTCAGCCCATTGATACAGCCTGTCCAGATCCGTCTGCAGAGCCTTCCAGCCCCCAAGCAGACCAACGCTCCTGCCCACTTTGGTGGCACCTGCAAACTTGCTGAGGGGTGCACTCAATGCCCTCGTCCAGATCATTGATAAGGCTATTAAACAGAACTGGCCCCGATATTGAGCCCTGGGGAACACCACTTGTGACCAGCCACCAAGTGTATTTAACTCCATTCACCACAACTCTTTGGACCTGGCTGTCCAGACAGTTTTTTACCCAGCAAAGTAAATGGGAAACTGGCCTCATATTCTTACCTATCTAAGTCTACAAATAGCGTATAGACTATATATAGCAGGTTTTTCCATGCAGCGAACAAAAGAAAAAAAGAAAAAGACAGCGCATAACATTAGTGTACTTTCCACCAGTAAGTCATCGAGGATTTTGCCATTACTGAAGACAAGTCACTAAACTATGTGGACTAGAAATCTGTTTAGCATTCCCAACATACAAGTTACATTTTTATAGTGCTTATTGGTAGTTATACTACATGGGTATTTCACACAACATGACAAGTGGTACAGTGAATATAATTTTTTTTTTTAAATATATGAAATACTTCACAGGTTAAGAAAGCCAGTATAAATGAAGTTGTAAATAAACATCTGAGTGTAGACTATACTAGTTTTATCTCCTCAGTGCCCCAGACCCAAGCCCTCCTGGAATTTTTAGTTTATAAACACAGATTAAACATACTCAATTAACCCCACATCTAGGTGAACATACTCTTTGCCACCCAAAACACACAGTTGTCTTCATAAATCACTAAAATTTATTTTTAAGATGTATTTCTTTAAGTCCAGGGTGGGACTTTTACAGGGTTTTCTGGGATTATTTTTAGAGTTTTGAATGACATCCAAGTAAAAGACTTACATGTGAAAGTTTGTTTGGCGACTCCTTGCCACTGCCTTCTTTCTGTAAAGCCCGGTCTTTGTAGGAGCTCAGGACTTTGGTCGATGGTGCATGCCACTTGGTTTCTGCCATAAATAATTGTGTTTTAATTTCTGAATGCTAAAAAGATGAGTATACTGTACAAAGAAAAAAGGCTTAGCATCAGGTTTCAAACCTGTACACTCTTTGGAATCAGTGATGTGTATCTTTGCAGAATTTCCTAAGATCTAGTTTTTCAATGATAATTAAATGAAGTTCAACCCGCTTTTCCTCATTCATGAAGCTTTCTGAAGTTCAGGAGTAGTTTGTGGCAAGTATTATCTAGATATCCCATGCCATATTCTGTTGGACTGTCTGTAACAGTTCCTGCTTTCACTGTCTTATTACATGCTCTTTGTGTATCCAACCGCCGCCATCAGAAGGTGACTGCACTTCAAAAGGCACTGCATTGCAAGGAACACTTATTTTAAAGATACAGTGGTTTTCATTACCAGAATGTCTAGTTCCTTCCAAAGTTTCCTCTCGTTCTCTGCCTCCTTCACACTCCAGTGAGCCTGCACCTTGGTGGTGTTCATGGAGCAAAGGGGACTGGCACCTTTTAACGTAAGCAGAAAATTAAGCTGTTTGTTTTTTTTTCCCTAGAAAACTAGTTACATGGTGAACAACAACAGTTTTTACTCTTCAAAGCAAATATTTTGTAAGTGATTTCTTTAAACAATCATCATTCCCCGCTACAAGGAAGTATAGTAACATTTTCTAACACTGCGTGGAAATATTTACATGCAGTTTTTTCAACAGCCTACTGTTGTATCTTAAGTGTGAATAGGCCAAGACGACACTGAACTTCAAGAAGAAATGCATTCTTGGGGCTATATATTCAATGTTTTTGCAATGGAGAACTATGGTAATGTATGCTTAACCGGTTTATGAACTAAGCCCCACAGAAAATTAGGATAGTTTTGCAGGTTTTCACACTCAGAACATGTAAGCTAGTACCAGATCCATTGCTTTGTAGTGTACTGCAAAAGTTAAATTATTTCACAAAGCAACCAAGGTTGCTACTAGAAATAACTGTGCTGGAAAAATGACAAGATACATTTTAATGTGTTTACTGTCAAAAAAATTGCTATAGTTTTATTTGAATTATTAGCATCTATTTAGTTGCCAGAGATTTTAGTGAGTATTCTGAAATTCCTTGAGGAGTCTCCAAGATATTGCATATCTGCTACATATATCTGAATATACATAGCATATATCTGCTACATGGAATATCTTATCCACAAACAGTCATGCCAAAGCAACAGCTTACAGACAAGAAATCAAGCTGATGTTTTCAATATTCACTTTTCCTGAGAAGTAGCTTCTGAATGCCAAGTGGCTAGTCTGGAATGCTTGTATATTATGCTATGTAGATACTGCCATAGGTCAATATTTTATAACAGGACTGTTTTCTGCAGCTATATTTATACAACAAAGTGATGAATTCAAGTAATTTAGAACAGATGTCTCACCTAATATTCTTATAAAATGGACAGTATATTGAGGTGGTCTCTTATACACAGATAACTAAATTCTGAAAATTCAGCACCAACTGATTAACAGGGATGTGAAAGAACCATCTATATACCGCAACAGCCTTTTAGGGAGAACAGGCCCCTGAAAGAGTGATGCTTTTTTCAGGAGAAATGCTAAAGAATGGATGCTACTGGAACAAGCACAGTAGGAAATAAAACCTTTGAAGACCATAAAGATGATTTTTTAATCAAATACCCTTACACTGAAGCAAAAGGAGTATATACTATTATTTTATTCCAGTTCTGAGTTACAAGCCAATTTCTGGCCTGTTTCTGGGAAAGCAAACCTAAGAACTGTTTGTTATTTACCTGAATTGTAAAGTAACAATTTGGTTCTAAAGAGTTAAAGCAGTATGACTTTAAAATCGTATTGGCATACATGTTACGTTAAAGATCAGTAAACCTGTACATCTTAAAATATCCTAACAGAGTTTGCAAATAAATCTAAGATACAGAACATCCACATAAATTTTGTTTCAAAAAGAAGGTGCATGGGACCTATATCAAGATTTAAAAAAAGAAAAAAAAAAAAATCATCAATACCCATCGTATCCCACTTGCTGTCTCCACTGGCTGCTCCCGCTGGGTCCTGGGTCACTGGAGGAGGACTGGTTGCTCGGAGAACTTCTGTAATGTTGACTAGAGTCATTAACAGTGCACTGAGGTATTTGTGAGGTTTCAGCTTTGAACTGGGCTGTGCTGCTTTGACAAAATACATTCATTTTTACAAATAATGCAGATGCACTATGAACACTTGATTATATTCATTTGGGGAATTTACAGTTACATCTTAGTTTCATAAACTTAAATAAGTATTTTCAAAGTATATTATTTATTTCATCACTAATAAAATATTTCCAACTGAATATATAAAAAAGGCACAGAAAGAAAAAGACTTAAGTGCCAAATCCTATGTTTCTTACATCTAGGTTTACTTCTGCACAAGTGGGATTACTCAGGAGTCAGATCAGTTGGATTAGGTCTCTAAATTCACAGGTGGGAAGCTCTCATGAAGGATCATAAATTATTGTTATTTGTTTTGCATGTACTTCAATTTTCAACATAGTAATTTAGAAGAGGTAATACCAATACTTTTTAAATGTTATTAATTCTTTGACATAGAAGAGCAATAAGAAAACATTTACATGAGTAGTATTATTTTGTACTTATTATTTAAACTTCTGAGCCTCATGTCTTAACAACGTCTCTAATTACTCCTCTTGGATTTCCAGACAATTGAAAGGCAATGCTCAAATTTGGGTTTGATCACTCTCCTATCCTTCACTTCTGTGTGTATCAGTCCATAACCACAAGACAATTTCCCTCAGTGACATTACCTTGATTTCTCTGTATTTGCCTTCTTTTTTTTATATTGTTTGGGTTTGTTCTTTTTAAAGGTTGTATGTAGAAATTAATGTATGTACTCAGGCAAGAGGTGAAAAGAGGTAGTTTTGGATTTATGCACAACACTTTCCCAAGGACATGACAGTCAATAAGCAACTTTACTGTTCAGCTTGAAAATTTTGAAGACATTAGCTATTATATTTTGTCCAATAGCCAAACACATACACAATAAGTAGATAGTGTAGTGCCTAATATTTCAGCATGTCTCTCTCTGATAGGTATTGACAGGACTGAGCCTCTCTCAATCAAGTGAAATAGTCTATAGGCTACAGTTGAATTCAACTGCATGTTCTGGCTTCTTACAACCAAGAACTTTGCATTTCTTGCACACTTTAAGTGAACCAGCATTAAGCAATGGGTAAGTTATGATCCCATGTGTGTCCAGCCTGATGTTTAGGACATTGTCCTCAAAACCGGGACATTGGATTGTACTATCCCAGGCTAAAGAATGCTTAGATCCCAAGCCTCCCATTTGCTGGACAAGTGTCTAGGCATTAGCCTACTAAACAAAAGGTGGCTACAAATGGACAAGCACAGAAATCCAGTCAGTGAATGCCTCATACAGTTCCTTTACTGAAGAGAATGGATTCCAGACTAAAGTACCAAGACTTCTTGGTGTGAAAAAAACAGAAGAGTGAGTCTGACTGAAGCTTCACTCTTAGGCATTCGCTATGAGCGACTGTCACAGAATTAGGCACTTTGTAAAAACAAGAATAGAGCTCAAGGATATCCTTCTATTTCTTAGTGACTGATTAGAGGAAACGCCTAGTACCGATCAACAGTAATCAACACAAAAACATTTGGATTGCCTTCTCAAAAGGCTTAAACTCTCCTCAGGTACTGTACTAGGAGCATGGGTTTTCAGGTCCCAGGTTTTCATTTCACTCCAGGGACTGGGGATCTAACTGATAGATGTCACAGTAGCTGAACTGTTGCTGCTTAAGTATTTTACTATACCTAGCCCACATTTATGTTGCTTCTTCCTCTTTTTATCTCTAAAACCAGCCATTTTATCACTGACTTCAATTTCAGAAGTTCCTTTTCAGATCAGTTGCTATAACTTCCCTGTTTTATCAACCTGCTTCTCCCTGCCTGCACTCTTCAATTTGTCTAAATTGATATTGGGTCTCTGACCCTCTAAAATCTCTTCATCATTTTCCTAGCTTGAGTATACATTTTCACCCTTGCAAGACTACTTGTAAGTACTAACCAACCTCACTTCAAACTCTTTCGTTTTAAGTCCATCTCTCTGCCAAGCCACCAAATATGCCTCCTACCATGTGGGAAGATCTTGCCAATTAGGTGACCTTCTTTTTGTGTTTCAAGACCCACATGTCACAGTTCATCATTTTTTTCTCTTTTCATTATTTATACTCTGTACCATGTCTTACCCAGAACAGCACTTCTGCATTGCATTTTTTTTGTTTAAGTGATACAAGAATTTCTTCATGACAAGAGATAGCCCCTCTCAGCATTTTTAGTCATAACATTTTTTCACATGCTTCACTGAGTGTTAGGACAAGTGCAACTTATGTTTGTGAAATTTTTTGGAAATGAGTAGTATGTCAGAAAGCTTTCACTTTTTCTCTGTATAGACATACAGTATGCTTAATAAAGCTCCATAGATCCTGAAGTCTTTTTAGACATGCGACACATTATCTCCTTATGCTAGATGTTACCAAGAATTTCAGTAAGAAGACATTAGGAAAAGCTTAAGCTCTATAATGGTATATACATGCTTACAGAAATGCACCAACCCTTTTTTCAGAGGGTAAGGCAGGGGCAGGGGTAGGAGAGAAGGAGAATACAAATGATCAAATGGTTGTAACCAGGAGTCTGCCTTGATATAGACATATTTTCAAAGATATATTACTATTAACTGTATATATTTCAAACAATGTATAAAGTCATTAATTCTTTCCTATTAAATAATACAGATGGTGTAGCAATAGCGGTATTTTATGATTTCATTCAGAATTTTTTAAAGCTATTTAAGACTAGTATTTTAGATTTTCATATCAATTGCGTATTTTCAACATGCAGTATTTTTTTCCTTGAAAATTAGAAATATATCACCTCATGGAAAAAGGGCGTAAAGCAGAAATAATTGCAAACAATAAAGGACAGAGAGTTCCATGCGAGACACATGGTTTTCCTAAATAATTCAAACGTCAAATGTATTTACAAATTTTTAACTTCAAAAATAAATTTTTACTTTATGAAGAATGATGAATAAATTAGAGCTAACATTTAAGGATAACATCCCATCATCTAAGAGGCGTTACATATTCAAATCACAAGCTCCGCTTTGTGTAATTAAAAGCAAAGCGAAGCATAAGGACTGGTAATGACTTACAGAACCCTTTGAAACTATGCCAATAGCTTGGTAATGAGATCAAATAACTCATTTTTAAAGGGATGAGTTCATTTTATTTACACTCATTATTTGTTTAAATAGGCTCCCAAAAGGTGGGGGACAGGACATTGTTTAGATCAAAAAGTCACAAGGCAGTTTCCCACTTTACTGATTTGGGACTAAAGGGAAAAGTCATCTGTTCCTAACAGTAGGATTATTAGTACAGTCCACTTCCACTTCCATCACAAACAAGAAGTCACTTTTTTCAAGTAGAGGGAACTGGGCTCAGTGAATGCTCTTTAACACAGAATTAAAATTGCTGTTAAAACTCAACAAAATAAGGTTTAAAAAAATAAGTATTCCAAAGTTGTAGAAAGCAGAGCTATCTAAAGTAACGCACATTAGGAAAATAACAGGCATTAAACAGATTACATTACCTTGCACCATCTGGCAGTTTTCTATCAAAGGAAGTGCTGCGAGGAATGGCTGTCTGAGCCTGCTGGAGAAGCTGCTGGCACTGCAGTCTGTCAGATGTTCCTAGGATTGGAGAGGCACGAGAGAGAGGCTGCCCAGCGGGAGTCGGCACCCGATGCCAAGTGGTATTCCTTCTGAAAGGGGTTTTATACTCACATGGGGTGCCTTCACTGTCAAGTTTGTATTCCACCATGGGTATACGACAAAGTTCTGAACAACCCCTGTGGGACAAATAAAAATGCTGATCAGTCTCACTGGAGGGAACAGAAAAAGAAATCTTGCATTCTACAGTCAGAAGCATATGCATCTTTTCCTCCCAGGTGCTTAACGGTGTTCATAGAGCATTGCACAGCCCTTTGGATGCTTCAAAATTATCATGCCAACCAGATACGAAACATTTCAAAATAAAGGATTTGCTCTCATGTGCTCAAAGGTTTTTGAACTCTCTCCTCACCCTTCAAAAAGGAGAAAATACTAAGCTTTTATAAATTATTCTGCAGCTTGAATTTTACATAATAAAAACTAGTAGAAGCAAAGCATTCAGAATTCAGCAAACATCAAGTCCTTCTATTACAGCTTTAATTTGTTTAAATTTCATAAATACAAATAATTTCTTGATGTAAAAATTTACATATCCAAAATTACAAAACATGTTTGCTGCTTTGCAGCAAGCTAAACTTTTCTTAGTGGTATTGAGAGCTTTCCTTTAGAATCCCACATTGTCCCCACCGAATGACAGAGCATATACACTGCAAGGCAAATGATTAAGTGGCATCTAAACATATTTCTATTTGTTTTCAAACTATACTTTCTAATGTCTCTCTTCCTGGGAGTCTCTATGCCTGGAAGAGAAATGGGGAAGCAGAAGGAAGAGATAAATCAGTAACAGTATGATTTACAACCTCTGCTTAAAGCTTACAGTGTAGCTAAATACAGCATTCCCAGAAAGTGTAAACTCAGGTAAAAATAGTGACAGTGTTCCCCAAATGATCAGTTTGCCTGTGGGATATTTGCTGGAGACTCAGGCTGGACTTAAATTAAGGGCTACTGTTTCAGAAATTAGTTACTAGAGCTTCACACCCACTTTAAGCCAACACTGATGATCTTTGTAGATATTTTATATTCTCACATACTGTCTCCATTATTTCACTGATAGGCAGCGTGTACTAAATTAACATCTATACAGAAAATACCCTAAATAATTCTAATGCAATGCACTAAGTTTAAGAAAGAAATAGTGAATGTTCACTTCTCTCTCTCATCTACAATCCTGCTCTATCCCTTGAGCTGAGACTTCATCAGGCTTTACTTTTATTGAAAACTCAACATTCACTGTTTCCAACTAAATTAAAATCACCTAGAGAAAATGTAATAGAGTGTGTGCAAAGTGTTTACAGTCTTAATCCTGAAAAATTTTTGGCACAAATGTGCAGTTCAAATCAATTGTATACGTTCTTATGCATTAATGTGCTCCAAAGCTTCTGTACCAAATTGCAAGTCATTGTCAGTCTTCTGGTAAGCAGACAAAAAAAAAAAGATATTATAAAAATGCTAAAAATGCTAACTATGTTATTAATAGTTGTTGAAGAGAAGATGCGTGTGCAGCTATAGCAGTTACATTCTAGATACTCCATATATGCCTAGTCTGATCCAGTAAAATGCTTCAGGCTGCTGAACTTTAGTACTAAATCAGCAAACTGTTTATCCTGTAGCATTAAATCTCAGTCCCTGCTGGCACTCAAACATATGAAAAAGGTAAAGAAAGAACTATAAAATATAGAGGATAAAGCATTGAGAGTGGAGATTAATAGCCAATGTAGGGTATAAGACACTGTGAAGATGACGAGCTGAAGAGGGGTCATTAAAATGGTCCAAAACAGAACTCAGAATTACTATTTTTTCAAGGTTATTTTTTTATCAAAAATATCAATATTAAACACACCAGTAAAATTTGACATGTGTAAACTCTGCTGACAAATCATAGCTGGACATGATGAAATTATCAGAGAATTTCACAATAATGGTTTTCTGGCTTTAGCTTCCCTATGGAGTTAAGACCACACCAAGGAATGGAGCTACAGAGAAACCAATGTTATAAAATTATCAATTAATTTCAGAAGGTCAATGAGAGAGAGAGAGAGAGAGCGAGAGAGAGAGAGAGAGAGAGAGAGAGAGCACTTGCACTGCAAATGCCACAGTTAGTCAGACCATCACTCCAAACTACCTCAGTTCACATATCTATTTTTTAAAATTGTTTCATGCTTCTGAAAATCACAAAACACTTGTTGGGCTCTTAGAATGATGAACACCATAGAAGGGCCAAGTTAAGCAAATGGCATAGAATTGTGCAAACATTTCTGCTGAAGCATACAGAGAATACATGTCTTCAGTGCAATATTCAACTGCTTATATCCCAAGACCATTCTTTTCTTCATAAAATTCCCTGCCTCATTCACTGCCTGCAACAAATAAGACCAAGGTGTAGGAGACAATAGCCTCTAGCAATGCAACCTTGATTCATTCCCAGAGCAGGTCCATGTTAGGTGAACATAGAAAGATCTTAAAGGGAAAAAAACCCAACACTCTAAGATTGATTACTCAATTAAATACTTTCATAAAACTTTATATACAAAACAAACAGAACAAAGAATGCACAGATGACATAGCAAGGTTAATATTTGTTTAATGTCCTGCATAATTTTTCATGTGGCTATATTACACACAGTTTGTCATTATTTGACTAGGAAGTTGAACAATTATGAAGGCTACAATTTCAATCATCCTTCTGCTGATTTCTTAGTACCATTCAACTCCCTTTTTCATTCCTATAGACCTTAAATGTTAAAAAAAAACAAACCACCCCCACACCAACTTTTATTATTACCTACACACCTTTTAAACACCTCCAGGGACAGTGACTCAACCACTTCCCTGGGCAGCCTGTTCCAATGCTTGACAACTCTTTCAGAAAACAAATTTTTCCCAGTATCCAATCTAAACCACCCCTGGTGCAACTTGAGGCTGTTCCCTCTTGTCCTATCTCTTGTTACTTGGGAGAAGAGACTGACACTCACCTTACTACAACCTCCTTACAGGTAGTTGTAGAGAGCAATGAGGTCTCCCCTCAGCATCCTCTTCTCCACACTAAACACCCCCACGTCCCTCAGCCGCTCCTCATAAGACTTGTGCTCTAGACCCTTCCCCAGCTTCCCTGTCCTTCTTCGGACACGCTCCAGCATCTCAATGTCTTTTTCTTGTAGCGTGGGGCCCAAAACTGAATACTGTATTCCACCGCAGTGGAATTGTATTCCACTGTATTCCACTTGCGGCCTCACCAGGGCTGACTACAGGGCAGACAGTCACTTCCTACTCCTGCTGGCCACACTATTTTTTTTACAAGCCAAGATGTTGCTGGCCTTCTTGGCCACCTGGGCACACTGCTGGCTCCTGTTCAGCCAGCTGTCGACCAACACCCCTGGGTCCTTTTCCTTCGGGCAGCTCTCCAGCCACTCCTCCCCAAGCCTGTAGCGTTGCATGGGGTTGTTGTGATCTCGATGCAGGACCCGGCACTCGGCTTTGTTGAACCTCATAGAATTGGCCTCAGCCCATCGATCCAGCCTGTCCAGATCCGTCTGCAGAGCCTTCCAGCCCTCAAGCAGACCAATGCTCCCACCCACCTTGGTGGCATCTGCAAACTTACCGAGGGTGTGCTCAATCCCCTTATTCAGATCATTGATAAGGCTATTAAACAGAACTGGCCCCAATACTGAGCCCTCGGGAACACTAGTTGTGACCAGCCGCCAACTGGATTTAACTCTATTCAGTCAAGCAGGACTTGCCTTTCATAAACCCATGCCGAGTGGGTTTGATCAGCTGGTTGTCCTGTATGTGCCATGTGATGTCACTCAAGATGGTCTGCTCCTCCATAACCTTCCCTGGAACTGATCTACCATACTTTAAGTGCTGTAAAAATAGCCATGACTTTTGAAGGCAAAAGGGATCGTTACTACTATCTAGTTTGATTCAGGTTGCTAACTGAATAACTAAAGCATGATATAAAAATAGCAAACAAGCTTTCCCACAAAGAAGAATAATTTAAAATTTTGTAGAATTTTGTGGTTCTTTATATCATGAAACTGTATTTCTCTGATAAATGCAAAAATTATTCAGGTCGCTGTTCCTGCAAAAAAAGGCTTACAAAACAACCCTATTTCAAATCACTATAAAAATCTAAAAACATCACTTTAAATTTAAAATGGAGCCCCAAGATTACTGTTGTAACTGGCCCCCCAAAAATTTCCATGGTTAAAATGGAACTACTTTATACGGCTGCCTTTGTCACATAGACTTCTTAATTTTAATTTAAAAGTGCCAAACCAATCAGTTGAACATTTAATGAAAAATTATGCTTCATTGCTTCACAAGTACTGCCTAAAGAACAGATACTGCAGTATACTGAGATATGTAAAGTCGTAATCGTAGCTACCGCCAATGTCAGAAATCAAGAGAACCAATTACTTCATGCCTGCAGTCCAATAAGGATCTCCAACCCCCATGGTGTATCAAACTGCAAGTTATCTTGCATGAAAACAAAACACAAAATTAAATGCAATTTCCTATTAAATATTTAATTTGGCCATTATCTAACTTCTATTTATAATATTGTTACTTGTTCCACTGGATGAAGAATATACATTGGCACTGGTATTGAACGATAGCTTTTAATCCATGTTTTTATTTTAATTTTTATTTTTTTTTAAATTCACTTTAAAGAACATGTAAAGACAAATCTATATTTTATGATGTTAAAAGATATTTAAATTTATGTTAAACAAGCACAGGATATCAAACATCTTTCTTAATTATATTCAATATAACATTTTGAAAGACAGACTTGCGTTATTTATCAATTGTGACCAAGTCTTAACCACACATCAGAAATGATAGCACTTCCTGTCCTTCACTGTAGTTTAGTATTAAGTAAATCAATCCTTCAACATAAAGCACAGACTCCTACTATTATCTTTGGTTCAAGAGCCATATTAACCTATAAAAAAATTGGTTAATAAAACTTACTTTGCAATTACATAGAGCATGACTATGATACAGCTAGCAGGTCATGACTGCATATTAAAGTTTAAGAGTCCACTATAAAAATCTGCAATATTCAAATGTTACTGCAAAGACTGTTATGTTCTGAAACAATTATCAAGCAGTCCAT